ATGTCTCGCAGTAACCAAGTAAAAATCGACAAATACGATGTAGGTGCTCGTGCGGAAGACAGCCGGCTTTGTGCACTCGGAATTCCCCACAGCATTAAATAACATGCGTCATCCAATAACCATCAACAACCGGGGTCCTATGTCCCCAGCCTATGCCAAGGCATTGGGGATCACCAAACTTGACATAACCGACTTGTGTCCAGCATGAAAGAATCCATTAAAGTGTACAACATCTACATGTGGGAATCAATGTCACAAAAGATCCCACAATATCAACGTATACTCACCCGTGCGCGAGCGGTTTCGACCAATCTTTTGCATTCACCGTGATTACTGTTTCCTTATTACGACAAGATATTTATCCAGTCTCGGCGAATTTCTGTAATGACCAGGTTTTGAGTCATACACGCTCGTGGACCGCGATTCGCATCGAAGTGAACCGCGGATGTTTCGATCACTGCGGCCGTAACTGCTGAAGCAAATGCATATTGGGTGTCGCCAGCCAGTAGTTTTAAGAATCATAAGCCAGCGTTGTAATTCGAGGGAGCGGATTCAAGCTTATGTAGAGACCGGGCGACCCTCGCAGTATTCTTAACCCACGCGTGAATGGTGGTGATCGCGCGGCAGCGAAGCGTGGTTATTGCTGAGGCCTGCAAACCGGAAAACTTGCTTTCCATGGCTGAATTCGGAGCGTAGCTCTTGGAGGAGAGCAGCCATGAAAATGCCTAGAAAGAGTTGAAACGTGAGATACGCTGATAAGCCCAGTGTGTTTAGGTTCGCACCTGACCGTAACACTCTGGTGAGTGGTGAATGGGTAGCCCCCGAAGGTTCACGGATACCAAATCGTTAGCCAAAAAGTAACGAAATCGCGTGCCTTCTTAATGACCTCAGGTAGGACAGAGATTCGGGATTAGTGTTAAACAGAATATATATATATATATATATATATATATATATATATATATATATATGTATGTATAACACAATATGTGGTACAGATATTGTGCCATCGGAATCATGGCTGAATAGGAAAACAGTATGAATAATAAGAAAAGAGCAACAACAAAAGTTTTTTTGGTTTGTTTTACCACTCACAGTTTTTGAAACTTTTTCCGGTTTGTTCTTTTTTAAGGGGAGGAAGAAGGGACACCGCAACACACCGATGCACACGTCCGCCATTAACATCGATCTTGAGCCATCGCTTCCAAGGTCTTCAACCAAAAACCCCAACCCCAACCAGTTAGCCGACAACAACCGGCCGAGACCAACTGTTTCGTCAACATTTTCATGCGGTTTCTCCATGTTGCACGCTGTCCACCAGACCGTCTTTCAGCCCTGTCCAGCTACCGCAAATAACGCACGACACGGGTAACGCTAAACAGGCATGCGCAATACGTGTCCCAATCACTGCAGTTGATGCAGTGAGACGAGTTCCTCGAGCAAGTGGCTTCCTCGTCCAAAGACACGCTGTCTAACTTCCACATTGCTTACGTGGTGCTGCCACCACACACGGGCAATGGACCGCAGACAGCGGTGCTCGAAGACGGATAGTCTGCGCAAGTCATCTTTACGAATGAGACAGGTTTCGAATCCGTACAACAGCACAGCACGAACAGTTGCACAATAGACGCGCCCTTTGATGGAGAGACGAATGTCGTGGCGACGCCACAAATGCCTCAGCCTAGAAAAAGCGAGGCCTGCTCTCGAGATGCGCATCGAAATCTCGTCCCCAACAGCCCCGCCAGCAGTGAGGCAACTTCCCAAGTAGACAAAGCTCTCCACAACCTCTAGTGTCTCACCACCAAGCGTGAGTGTAGGCAGAGGCACCTGCCAGTCTTGGAAGAGAGCCTTGCATTTGGATGGCGGAAACTACATACCGTACTTTGATGCTTCAATCGCCAAGCGGTTTAATGCAAGTTGGACGACGTGTGGATCGTCACCCAGAAAGACGATGTCATCAGCATAATCCAAATCAACAACTCGACTACCTTGGAGGAGCTCAACGCCAGCGTTCAACGAATCGCCTAGAGCGTTCTTCAAGACATTCTCAATGACAAAGTTGAATAGGAACGGAGAGATAAGGCATCCTTATCGAACTCCACTAGAAACCACAAAGGTAGGCGAAAGCTTGCCATAAGCCCTAACCCTGCCCGAGGTCAGACTACAGAGAGCGTGCAGTATGGAGACGAACTTCTCGGGGACACCATTCCTCAGTAGGCAGTGCCACAGTACTGTACGATCGACAGAATCGAAGGCTGTACGCATATCCAAGAACACAGCAATCGTTGGCCCCTGATACACATGGCAGAGCCCGAGGATCTGGAGAAGTGTGAAGATTTGATCGATGTAGGCGCGACCAAGGCGAGACCCGGCTTGTTCTTCTCGTTGCAACGATTCGCGTGTTGGGGATAACCTGCAAAGTATGATGGACACCAGCAGCTTGCAAACGACGGGCACTAAACTTATTCCTCTGTAACTGGAGCAGATTGTGCGCAAGCCGTTTTTGAAGATAGGGACGAATATCGATTCACTCCAAGATGATGGAACTTTCTCTTTCGACCAAATTTTCGAGAACAAAGCGATGAGCTCTCGAACCAGCGAAGCGCCACCATCATTAAATAGAGCCGGAGGTAGATCATCAGGGCCGGGGGCTTTATAACGCTTCATGTAGCGGAGCTCCTGCTCGAGTTTCGGGGAAGAGGTAGGATCTGTGGGGGTAGACCATTCGGCCCCAGCACGAGCGCCAGAGGTAGCAGATGGAGCTGGGGGCCAACAAAACTGCGAGCCAAAATGTTCGGCCCATCGCTCCAACCGTCGTTAAAGATTGGTGATTAAGGTGCCATCCTCTTCGCATATTGATTCACTTATACCAGATCGAACACCTTCGATGACTCGAATGAGATGAAAAAGTTTTTTGGTATTACCAGAGAGACTAGCAAGCTCCATCTCCCTAGCACGTTCACACCACCAAGCTTCGCGGTCCATTTGCAGACTCCTGCTCAACTGTCGACCAAGGTATTGGCGTTCTTCACTGTGTCTAGAATCCGATGGGATCAAGCGGCGTTTATCTATCAGCAACAAGGAGTCGGTGGAAATCCAATGTTTCCGTGGGTGACGGGTAACTTCACTAGTGTCGATACTAGCGGATACTAAGGCATCTTTGATATGTGCCCACTGCGAATCGAGATCACCGTCAATAGTTGAGCCAAGCAAGGTTGAGAGTGAGGCTTACTACCTGGTTAAAATCGCAGAGTTTTGTAGATTCGCGACGTCCGGTCGGTAGTGGGCGCGCTTAGGTGATCCTCCGAAACGCATGCAAATCTTAGCACCAACCAATGCGTGACCGGAGTCTAGAAAAGTTGACCAGTACGATCGGCAGTCCGTTACGCTTTCGCGCCATATAAAGCTGATTGCTATGTGGTCAACCTGGGAGCACTCTTGCGTTTGTAAGGGCGAGCGCCAGGTAGCAGTGTCTCATCGAGTGCCGAAAACTAGTGCTCGAAAGAAACAAGCGATGATCAGAGCAAAGAACAAGCAGTTTGTCTCCATTGTCTGATCAACTGCTACCGAGGCCAAAACTACCCCCAAGGTGGTGCTCGCTTAGTGGAAGGCGGCCAACCCGTGCGTTAAAGTCCCCGGCAAGAATGACTATACCAGTCCTTTTGGAGGAACGCATAAGTTCATGTAGTTGCTGGGAAAAGTTATCTTAACCTGCATCCGGGCTGCAGTCTGTAGGGACGTAGGCGGAGACGACAAACAAGGCACGCTTAACGTCTCGACGCTTGCTTACGTTACATGAACCTCGTAGTCTGACTGCACATAGCCGACTGTTGACTGGGATCCAGTCAAGCAGATCTGATTCAGCCCTGGCAATCAGTACAACCCCAACACCAGCTTGAGCAGTGGCGGCAGCTTCTGGGTCTCCGGAAAGCCGCAAATAATATTTGGCGTCAGAGTTTACCGGAGAGGCCATTCTGATGACTGCGCTAGAGTCTTGTAATCTGGTCTCTGAAAGGCAACAGATGTCTACCGAAAGCGTTTCAAGAGTACGGGCCAGACATGCTTGTCGTCCGATCTGCATCAAAGTTCGAACATTAAACGCTGCGAGGATGAGTGGAGGACCAGGTCGAAGAAGAGCTGGAGCTTCGGTGGACTGAGAGGCGGTTGCGATCGCAGGACATTGAAAACCGGGAGTTTGGCTGTTGCTTCCATCAGTTGCGAGATGTGGGTCATTTGTGACGGTGACCGTAGAAGACAGAAGAGTACAGGTGTGTGAAGGACGGGAGGTGGGGTGATCTGTGAGTGGAGGTTGAGCAGTTGAGTTAGCACAGAAGATAGGCATAGCAGGAGCGGTAGTAAGCGGTGTGGTCCATGATTCGTCAGTGGGCGTGATACTACCCGGTTGCCCAGACCGAAGTAGAGTGTTGTCTTAGGGGGCCCTACCCCGAGCCTTTGATCAAAGATCTAACCTACAAGGCAGCAGGCGATGTGATGGCGTCGCAACCCGTTGGGAGCCGGTGACCAAATAGATGATTCATACGCCTTTCGGTCCGTGAAGGACCAGGGGCCCAACGCACCCTTAAAGTACAATGCCTCTCAGGGAGGGGAAAGGGGCAGTGACTATATTTAGTGGCGAGTCACATCCGCCACGTCGCAGTGTTGTTAAACAGACATTTGTGGCTTTTTACAGGGAGAGCGCTTGCCAGGTGAAAACCCACCACGTCCTGGAATACTGCTGCCGAACCACTCACTGGAACGGGAAAAAACCGAACCACCCAGGTGGCACCACGAGGTTGTTCGGCAAGCCAGCGATGAGAAACAAGAGGATAGAAAGGGTTCAAATATACAGAACACAAACAAAAATACAGTGACGATCAGGTTTGCAAACGCAAGCTGGGTACGAGTAAATTGGTTAACTATGGTACGTGCACATCATGATACGGTAAATCCAGTCGCTATGACAATGACCATCGAAAGATGGACCGAAAAAGTAAAAACTGTCACATGGAAGAGGCGAACACAAGGGCATAACTGACTTCGTCCCCGCGTACTGCCTGCAGACTAGTAGTCTCTTGATTGCTTTCAACACGCGGTGGCCACATCTCTGATTCGTAGAGTATAGTGGACGGTAACACAGTGTTGCAGACTGTACAGTAAAAAAAACGACCGCGAAAGGAAACACACCTGTTGGTCAAGTGGTCACGAGCACGTTCGACAGCGGCAAGCATCTTCACTGCGTCATGAGCCGAAACAGATTGTACGATGGGTGGTGCGTTCTGAAACAATGGAGAGAAAGGATAGAAAGTGGTACTTTGAAAAGTATGACCCATCCAGTTGTGCCACAAGCACTGCGATCTCGGAGAGTTGTGGGGAAATAAACATTGTGTATTCTCTGACTGACAGCTGTGCGCTGCAATTTCTATCTGACAAAAGCGTGTATTGTGGATAGTTCTTCCGACGTAATTCACAAAACAACCCTTTATATACGGAGAAGGTAAGAATGACAACTTAATCAGCTGTGAGCCCTAGTGTATCACAAAGCAAAACATGCCGATCTTTAACATTTGGAAAACCCGGCTTCCGTTCGCGATCAAAGTTGGCTTCGGCAGATGAAACAAAGAGAACAGTGACGTTATAAAAACCTAGTGGCCGTCGTTTCATCTATAATTAGTGATTAAACGTTTGTGGACAGATAGCTAGACTCAGGAAACTAAGCATAAAGACGATACATGATGTCGACTACCAGCATTCCGGACAAATTCGAACGACATGCGTGTGCGGTCGCTTAATGACCCCAAGATGGGAAAGAGGTGAAGTAAAGTTCATTTACCGAAGGATTTACGTGGCAGCGACGCAACAACACAACCCAACGGTGCACCGCTGATACCCGTTTTATTTTATGTATGTAAACCGACCTCCGGAACTGACGAGCACGTAACCAGAGGTGGTCCCAACAATTCCAGCGTAAATATCGGTGTATGTAATGTTCGGGCGCTAAGGAAGCAAATTTACAATCACTTATTGACATGTGCGTAAGTGGATCATTTTCGGTATAGATTCCAGTCGGCCCAGTGAAAATGACCACGTTTACAACTCATCTGGATAAAAACGACGGAAGGGGACTGTCGCTGAGTTTAGATGAGAACACTCGCCAAATAACATTTCTCCAACGCTGCCATACTACCTTCAGAATCTGATTTCTACCAAGGTACGAGGTTAACAACAGCATAGATGTACCCTTTCAACCGTAATAAGTCGACCCGAAGGTAGCGGCAAACAACTGGAGCATTTAGTGTGAGATAGTCCGCGGTGTATGTGTGGTGCTCTCAGTTCACCTAACAAAATTCACAAACAGCAGACACGGAGTCGGAGGATGTGATGATCAGAGACACACTTGTCTCTTTGGCACAGCGCATAAAATAAGTAAATAGTACTCCGCAGTGGTGACGAGGAGTGGACAAACTGGTGCCATCTGAGATTAGCTTCAGATCCGCTAGAGCAGCCCTCACCGTGGATTTTCATACACAGCTGTTCAGACCAAGGAAAGCTCCTTTCTGAAGCCAAAGCGACCCCACCTTTCGTGATACGTGGGCCAATATAGGCAGCCACATATCCATCGCTGCTAATGCAGCTACCAAAATAGGTGAACTGGTCAACTAATTCTGGTTCTTCGTCGTCTAGAGTTAAAGGGTTACCAAATGAATGTTGGTCGTGAGACAACACCTTGCATACAGGTGCGAGGCGCATACCAAATGATGGACCCACCCTAGAGAGTCCCTTCAGAACTAACTGAGGTATCAGCAGTACGTCGGCAAACTGTACTGACGTCCATCGCCACGACCAGTTGCGCCGGCGCTAGGTATACAGCGCGGTTGTGTGCACCTACACGGATTTGAATCCGCGACCTCTGAATCATCAAGTGTCTGTACCGAGTTCGGTGTTCGCCACTCCGACCGAATTCAGCAGTTCGGATTGTGGTATGGAAGAGGTGAGTCGAACACTCGCCAAACTTGACGGCACCAAGCCTGATGGGCCGGACGGGCTCTACCCACCAATCACCAAGCTTTTATCGGCCATTATTTCGCCTGCCGTAACTGAGTTGGTTAACAGGTCTATGCCCGAAGGTTCATTGCCGGTTGCTCGGCGGTAAGGCCGATTCCGAAAGGCGGTGACCCCAACAAAGTGGACAACGACAGGCCAATTTCAAATTCTTGCAAGATACTTGGAACCGATCGAGTAGGCATGAGTTCAGAGATTTGGAAACAACCGGTTGGTATAGTAGTTTGGTAACGCTTCGCTCTTGACACAAGACCTTTGTCAGACCAGGTGAATCAGTATAAAATTGGGGTGGGATTTTATGACAGTGGTCTACCAGTCTGTATTTCAAATGGATATAAGAAAGGAATTTTTATTAAATTCTTGGTGTGATAACAAATATAACAGACATTTAGGATATGGACAATAGCTATTCGAGCTAAAAATTTTCGAATCCCCGAGATAAGCTTAATTTTGTTTTAAGGAACGATTTCCAAAATTTCGTATATAAAGGAAAAACAACATAAAATAAATGTCCATTGCAAGGAATGGAACAATAAAATTGTATACAGAAGAACTAGTCCTTTTATCAGTTGTTAGTTGAACTTGAATTCGCGCTACAGACTGGTGGAACACTACCGGACTTCATAGAGAATAGGGGCGATAACCGCGTTACCCGAGACTTGAGCCAAGATGTCATTACAGTCACAGTTCATGATGTCATAGATGGTTCAATCACAGTGGGAATAGTCCAGATGTTTCTTTGTACGTCATGATATTGATGAGTAAGCTCAAAGTGTTGACAATGGGAGTCGGTTTGCACTTCCCAATCATGGACTACACCGCTCACTACTACTACTGCTATGCCGCTCTTCTGTCTTAACTCAACCGCTCAACGTCCACTCACAGACCACCGCACCTCCCGTCCTTCACATACATGTACTCTTATGTCTTCTACGGTTCCCGTCACAAACGACCCGCGTCTTGCAACTGATGGAAGCAACAGCCAAACTCCCGGTTTTCATTCTCCTGCGATCGCAACTGCCTCTCACTCCACCGAAGCTCTAGCTGTTCTTCGACCTGGTTCTCCACTCATCCTCGCAGCGTTTAATGTTCGAACTCTGATGCAGATCGGACGACAAGCACGTCTTGAAACGCTATCAGTAGACATCTGTTGCCTTTCAGAGACCAGATTACAAGACTAGCGCCGTCATCAGAATGGCCTCTCCGGTAAACTCTGACGCCAAATACTACTTGCGGCTTTCCGGAGACCCAGAATCTGCCGCCACTAGTCAAGCTGGTGTTCGGGTTGTATTAAGTGCCAGGGCTGAATCAGCTCTGCTTGACTGGATCCCAGTCAACAGCCGACTATGTGCAGTCAGACTAAGAGGTTCATGTAACGTAAGCAGGCGTCGAGATGTTAAGCGTGCCTTATTTGTCGTCTCCGCCTACGCCCCTACAGACTGCAGCCCGGATGCAGTTAAAGATAGCTTTTACCAACAACTACATGAACTTCTGCGTTCCTCCAAAAGAACGGATATAGTCATTCTTGCCGGGGACCTTAACGCACGGGTTGGCCGCCTTCCACCAAGCGAGCACCACATTGGGGGTAGTTTTGGTCTCGGTGGCAGTCGATCAGACAATGGAGACAGACTACTTGCTCTTTGCTCTGATCATCGCTTGTTTCTTTCGAGCACTAGTTTTCGACACTCGAGGAGACACACTGCTACCTGGCGCCCGCCCTTACAAACGCAAGAGTGATCCCAGCTTGACCACATAGCAATCAGCTTTATATGCCGCGGAAGCGTAACGGACTGCCGATCGTACTGGTAAACTTTTCTAGACTCTGATCACGCATTGGTTCGTGCTAAGATTTGCATGCGTTTCGGAGGATCACCTAAGCGCGCCCACTACCGACTGGAAGTCGCGAATCTACAAAACGCTGCGGTTTTAACCAGGTACCAAGCCTCACTGTCAACTTTGCTTGGCTCAACTGTTGACGGTGATCTCGATTCGCAGTGGGCACATATCAAAGATGCGTTAGTTTCCGCCAGTATCGACATTTGTGGAGTTACCCGTCACCCACCGAAACATTGGATTTGCGCCGACTCCTTGTCGCTGATGGACAGACGCCGCTTGATCCCGTCGGATTCCAGACACGTTTAAGAACGCCAATACCTTGGTCGACAGTTGAGCAGGAGTCTGCAAATGGACCGCGAAGCTTGGTGGTGTGAACGTGCTAGGGAGATGGAGTTTGCTAGTCTCTCTGGTAATACCAGGAAACTCTTACATCTCCTTCGAGTCACCGAAGGTGTCCCATCTGGTATAAGTGAAACAATATGCGAAGAGGATGGCACCTTAATCACCAATCTTCAACGACGGTTGGAGCGATGGGCCGAACATTTTGGCTTGCAGTTTTGTTGGCCTCCAGCTCCATCTGACGCTCGCGCTGGGGCCGAGTGGTCTACCCCAACAGACCCTCCCTCTTCCCAGGAAATCGAGCAGGAGCTCCGCTACATGAAGCGTTATAAAGCTCCCGGCCCTGATAGTCTTCACCCAACTCTATTTGAAGATGGTGGCGCATCGCTGGTCCGAGAACTCACCGCTTTTTTCTCGAAAATTTGGTCGAGAGAGAAGGTTCCATCATCTTGGGGTGAATCGATAGTCGTACCCATCTTCAAAAAGGGCCTGCGCACAATCTGCTCCAACTACAGAGGAATAAGTTTAGTCCCCGTCGTTTGCAAGCTGCTGGTGTCCATCATACTTCGCAGGCTATCCCCAACACGCGAATCGTTGCAACGAGAAGAACAAGCTGGGTTTCGCCATGGTCGCGGCTGCATCGATCAAATCTTCACACTTCGCCAGATCCTCGAGCTCCGCCATGTGTATCAGAGGCCAACGATTGCTGTGGTCCTGGATATCCGTGCAGCCTTCGATTCTGTCGATCGTACAATACTGTGGCAGTGCCTTCTGAGGAACGGTGTCCCCGAGAAGTTCGTCTCCATACTGCGCGCTCTATACAGTCTGACCTCGGGCAGGGTTAGGGCTTATGGCATGCTTTCGCCTACCTTTGTGGTCTCCAGTGGAGTTCGACAAGGATGCCCTATCTCTCCGTTCCTATTCAACTTTGCCATTGAGGATGTCCTGAAGAACGCTCTGAGCGATTCGTTGAACGCTGGCGTTGAGCTCCTCCAAGGTAGTCGAGTTGTTGATTTGGATTATGCTGATGATATTGTCTTGC